ACCATTTTTTAAGTACGGTCTACATTCAAATCAAATCAAATCAAATCAAATCAAATCTTTTAGCTAGTTTATTAAAAGACATTAAATAAATAAATATGAAAGACTCAAAAATATTATAGAAATTATATTTTGTTTATTAAGTCTTAGTACAAAATTGAAATAAATAAAATTATTTTTATTTTTTTTAAACTACACCGAAAGGGATCAAACCGCAGCTGTCGGTGCCGAAACCGAAATCGAAATTCGATCGGTCTCAAATGTCCAAAACTGAACTTTGATTTAACGTTACAACATCAAATGGAAAAAAAAAATGTATCGTATAAGTTAACCAAACCTATGTCTGACAGCGTAAATCTATATTGTATATTATTCTAGAGTTAATCCGACTCACTCACCTCCATCCACCAATTTTGCCTCTCCTCCCAAACAAAAGACTACAGACCGCGGGATCTGCAAGCCGTGTATTAAATGCAGATGTCAAGCAGCAGATGTCAAACGGCAAAGTGATTTGAGAAGTAAACAATGAGATTACAGCATTAGCGAACATTAAATGATCAGACCAGTCAACTATTTCTCATGTGTAGCTATTATTGCGTACATTTAGTCCTCTCATTTCTAGTTTTATTACGTACATTGTGTGACCTTAATTGTAGCTATTATTTTGTACATTCTGTTTTCTCATGTGTAGCTATAACTATGTACATTTTTAAATATCGTTGTCTGAATTCAGCTGGTAAGTAGTAAGTACTTACCAGCTAAGTGCTATTTCTTATTTTTATTTTTATACCGTTTTTTTCTGTTATTTTGTTCGCTGACGAAGGCTTTCTGCCGACACGATCGCTGTTTTGTTGCGTTTATTTTTTCAGGTTTAACCCTACTCTGTTTTAATCATTTTATTTTAGAGCTTAGCTGAACGTGTTGAGCACTTTTCTCGATACTCAATTCGGACAGCTTGATTATTATCAGCCGAAAAGGCTGGTTTGTAGGACAGGGGGGGGGTGGTGTTGATGTCACCCCTCCTCTCGGGGGGG